AGTTGGGGGCCCCATGCGGTAACCAGAACGCATAGGTCCCAGCAAGAAGTGAGGTACAGCCAGCAAGGCAGGACCTCCTGGCCCCACGGGGCAAGATGATGACCACCCAGCATCAGAAAGGGGGGAGCCGTTTAGAGAAAACAGACTTCAAAGGGTAAACTGCTCTCCCATCTGCAAGAGACAGATGGACCACCCAACACGAAAGATCTCCTGGATCTTGAGAGAACCAGACGCTCCGCCGGGAGCAGGGAGGGGTCCTGCGAGCCACAGGAGGCATCGCGCACAGCCAGCCACACGGCACTGCCAGGCCCAGGGCTACTCAGCTCTCCTGCCCACGGTCTCCACCACGCCTATGAAGGCGGCCCAGGGTCTGAGTGGCACAGCAAGTGGAGAGCTGGCCACAGACCTTCTACGTCCAGCAGCCAGGGCCGCGTCCAGCTTCCGGCAGCTGTGGCTGGAGAAAGGTCGCAAGGTCCCTTGGGTGGACGTACCACCGCAGGCAGGCGCCTACTCTTCTATGTGAAATAGCCAGTCAGTGAATCCACGTGAAGAAACGCGCTGTGGCTAACGAGGCCGCAGTGCACAGCGGGCGTGCACAGCAAGGCCGAGGAGAACGGCCATTGGCCCGCGGCTCAGCGACGCGACGGCTGTGGACCAGCACAGGCACCCACGCAGCGTCTCCTGCAGAACCAGGTGGTCGCCGGGTCAAAGGCAGCAGCGTGAAGGCCAAGGCGTGTGCCCGACAGGGTCAGTGCTGGGGAAGGCCCTGAGTGCTGCTGGCTCTGTACAGCCCCTCCTGACAGGGAGCAGCTCGGGACGGCGACCCAAGGGCTGTGTCCTGACCGCCAAGGCAGGGGGTGAGGGGCCAGATACTGCTAGGTGTGTTGTGTGGCCGGGACTCTGTGGTCCCCAAGCCTGCAGGCCGTGGCTTCCCAACACCTGGCCTCCTGACGGGGACCTGGACAAGCTCCGTGGCAGCGCCCTGTGCAGCACCCGCTTGCTGAGGCTGGTGTCTCCCCTCCCCCTTTCCCTGCCACTTTCTTCCACTCTTTTCTGGAACCTACAGGGAATGCTCGGTCTCCTAGTTGAGGTTCCAGTCTGCCTTTCTCTGCTACTTTCCATCTTTTTCAGTTTTGCTCTAAATTCCTAGAGGGGGCCTCTCCTGCCTGCACCTCACAGTCCACCTGTGTGTCCTCCAGCCGTGAACAGCCTCAGTGCCGGATCTTTCTGGATCTTTCCT